AAGTTCGCTTTGAGAATCCGGCCTCAGGTTTTCTCCGGGCCAAGGTAGATACGAGGAGCGCTTTGTAGATGATACCAAAATAAATAATACAGCATTTAAGGCGGAAGAACACAAACATACAAAATTATTTTACGTCTGATGTGTTATAGGGAAATATTGTATTCCGGCATACACTATATTTTATGAAGGAATGATGTATGTATGTGTTAGGCTCCTTGAATATTTTATTATTTTTTTCATTGTGTATCTCTTCAATAAACTAAAAGAGCTTGCTTGAATTTTTGAGGATACTTAAAGCAAGGAAAACGTTTAGAAAAGATCTTGAAAGAACAGCTTTTACCTCCGTTAAAACCCCAAAAGTAAATCGTCTTTAAATATCCATGTAAGGGCTTTTGTGGGCTCTAAAAATGGAAATAATATGATAGTAGGTTACGTTGTTGAGCTAGTTGTTTCATCTTAGTTAAACATATAAAATAGCGCGAAAAAAGGCAGTATACAGGACAAGCGCTTGTCCTGTATACCTCTCGTCCTTGGTCTTTTTTCCGCTACTTTATATGTTTACTAATGTGGCGATGCAGGCGAGTTGGTTATGCATGTTGAAAGTAGTGAAAGCGCACAATAAAGACGAATACGAAAACGGAGAGGCAAACAGGACGAGCGCTGCTCGTCCTGTTTGCCTCTCCGTCTCCTTTATATGTTTAACTGGAAGAAAAAAAAATATTACAGTCCTGTCTGTGTTTTGCCGTATGTTTCAATCTTTCTTTAATAATTTAAGCCATTTTCTTGGGATCAGTTGCATTGTGTAGAGTCAGCCTAAAATGCCAATTAATGCGTTCTTTTTTTTTTTGCAAAGATGTGTTGTTGGCAGCAAAAGTTTCCGGGCGTGAGAGTTCCAGCCGAAATGACTGGTTGCGCCTTCTGACGGCGGATGGCCGCTCTCAAGATTCACGCTCTGGAAATGTGCCTCCTCTCGTGCTCTCAGTCGCGCCTTTTTACTCCCTTCCGTCCGACGTGTACAACATACCAGGACCGCAAGGTGCCGCTTTTTTAGCCTTCATGCCGATCGTCTTACTCAGCCGCCATAATGGGCGATGGAGCTCCCATGCTACAGATAACATTTCGCGATACCTTGCTGCAGTCCCTGTTATCTCGCTAATGTATGACGGAAACAAGCGAAGAAAAAAAAAACAAAAAAATACATGACTGCGACACAAAATATAGCGCATGCACAAAGCGTGAGTCTCAGGAGTGGCAACCTGCCGTCAGTAGGCGCCGACAGTCTTTACAGCTGGCGTTCCCGTGCCCCACAAACTTTCGCTGCCGAGTAGATGATTACGTATTCCAATGTTAGATTTTTGGCGCCGAATGTATATTTAAGTATTCTCACGATCCGGCATGCATTTTGTACAATTATTCTGCTCTGTTTCGGGGGAGAATCAGTAGGCAGAGCTTTGAAAGCTAAGTTATGCAAATAAACTCGAAATGATGAAGAGGCTCGCAAAATCCGCTTCAGTACCAATGTTATAGTACCAAATGGAATCTAAGGTCAGCGGAATCTAAGGCTGTCTATGATAAGTGGACTCTAAGGTAAAATAACATATAAGACCGTCAGTGTCCTAATCAACTAGATACATTCATAATTCTTTTACTTACTTTAATTTGGGCACGTGTTTATACTGTACGTATCCTGGGAGCCGTATTTTAAGTTCAGCACACCGACTGGCAGTTTTTCATACTCGCCGCATTACCTAATTTCATGCGGAAGAAGACGGAGGGCACGGGTGGGCTTCGGTAAACACGCCTCAATGATCTACGCGTTAGCTTTTAGCTTGCTACTAGATAGCCTACGTGATATGAGTAAGCATATCTGAGAGTCGGATAGACTAGCACGTGAATCACCGAGTCGAGTTTACCTAAGAATTCGCCCCTTCTCTGCCTCTGCCTCGTAGACAAGGCAATATCTCGTGTATTTAAACTTGCCCAGTAGAGTGCTTACATTTTCCTGTTGACACATTTCACAAACTGTTTTGAATACGATTGCTGGTGTGCCGCTCCTTGGGTATGGCATTCCGTAAGACATCGCGCAGAGCTGGTAACAGCTCTTCTCGTGCTCTCAGCTGACGAAGATGAAATGCCCAAGGAACAAGAGAGGAGTGTTGAAACGTATGAAACGTCATACCCGTCGACCCGCGTCAAATCGGGCAGATCGTTTCTACCCATGTTTCCGGTATCGAGTACAATCTTTGCCAGATTGAGAGGTGAATTCGGCGAATTAAACTTGTTACGAAAATTTACGAATTGAAACGGTTTTGTAGTTCGAGGGCCTTACAGTTTGCAGTATAAGCATGTATTGCAATGACATTCATCATAAAGTATATTAATAGTCTTAGTTTATTAGTATATTGAACTAAAACTACTTACTTTAATTGCCATACTGAATAAGTTACTGTATTTGCCATATTTTCCCTTAGTGTCCGCTCGGGATCATAAGCCGAAGCATAGAAAACTATTTTCGATCTCTCGTTATATTGGCATTATATTTGTAAAATTTAGTGAAAATGGGTTACATTATACGTATATTTATTTATAGTTTAGTGGTGCTTGAGATAATCCAATTTAATTTTGAAATATATTTTAAGCACTCTTGCGTGGTATCGCGACACTGTAACTCGGTATTCTTTAGAGATTCGTAAAGGTACCGCTTAGCCTATATTAACGTAACTATAACAGTATCAACCATTACATTTTTTTCCTAAAATAACTGCAAAGTAACGAGGAAGACACAGTGACTTCTCGGATTAATGGACCCTATTTTTCTGAGACTACAGTGGGCTTGAGACTATGAAGAGTCTTGGCCCGACAGTATAAGTGAAATTATAAAACCAGAGCTTAAGGGCCCGTTCGCACACTTGCAACCGACTACGACCGAATGAGCCACGACCGTTTTTTTTTAGCTTCTGAAGACCGGATGGGCTGCTGCGGGCATAATCATTCACAAGAGGCTTAAAAACCGGCCCCGTTTTCAGTCGGTTGTCGTCAAGCGCAAGTGTGTGAACGGGCTTTAAGAATTTCACCTTTGCTGTAATCCGTTGGCACGAATGGCGAAAATGCCTGCACACCTCTGTTGTTTTTTTTAATTATTATTATCACGCGTTTTCTTTTTTTTTTTTTTGTGTCAAAATCTTTTTTTTTTTTTTTGTGCCGTTTCGGACCTCCTGGAGTGACCTTAGCTGAACCAACCCCTTTTCCGAAAAATAAAAATAACGACTTGCGGGGACGCGTGGACATTTAGTGGTCAGCCGTTCTGCGCTTGACGAGGGGACGAGGGCCTCTGTCTTCAGTCACAAGGCTGCATTTTTAATTGCACTCGAAGCAGCGGAGCACCTGGTTTTGAGGCTAGTCTCCAAAGATCTTCTTTTTTTTTTTGCAAAAGGGAGCCACAGACGACGTTTCTATTGGCCGACTTGACCTCTCCCAGGGGCCGTACGCCGGTGGTCCGTGGTCGAGTGTTTTTGTTCCACACCGCGCAATTTTAACTTAAAAAAAAAAAAAAAACTCCGGAACGCATTATGACATTACTTTGTCCTGATTCTGTTCAGTTCTTTCTTTATTTTATTTGATAATATAGGTATTTTAAATAATCCAAGTCTAAATTTACTGACTACATGACCCCGTTCTCATCTTTGTAACGTACCGGTTCGTTGTTTATATGATAGAGAGAGAAAAAAAAAAGAACGTCAGAACTTAAAAAGAAAAAAAAAACAGTTCGATGGAAATTTATTATTGGAGGAAACTTCTTCACATTTGTTAGAAAGCGAGTAACCCTGCACACGCCGCGACTGCATTGCGGGTTATGCGGATGACGAAGCAGTTTTGTTTTCTTTATAAACATTTCACGGCCGATTAATCAAGATCATCCAAGCCCATAAAAGCATTCGGCAGCGTCGAATAAACGTTCAGTCTGTTGGCAAATCAGACACGCTGCCCATGGCTCCCTTCGTCAGCGCCTGAGACCGGCCAACTCACCCCGCACCACACGCACCATGTCCATCGCGGTTCCTCAGTTGAACGAAAGCACTGATCAGCGGACCTCCTATTTGACGTTCTTGGGGGCGTTCTTCGACGGGAATGCGGTGACCGATGCGGCGAAGAAGCGGGCGTTGCTAGTGTCAGCGCTGAGTACGAAGATATTGAAGTTTTGGAAGCATGCAGTTCATCTACAGCGGTCAATGAGGTCAAGTGTGACGAAGCCGTGGAGCAGTTAGGTATTTGCTACGCACCAAAACCGACCGAAATCGCCGAGAGATTCATGTTTTTCAAGAGAGATCCGAATCCAGATGAGTCTGTACAGGAATATTGCGTTGCGCTTTGCCGCCCAGCAGAGACCTGCAACTTCGGCGACACTCGCAAACGTCTACTCCGTGATCGCATTCTCTGCGGAATCACAAACGCAGGTTTCGGACAACTGTTGCTCACTAAAAGATAATTACAAGCGACCGCAATGTCTTCAACCTGAAAGCGGCCGAAAACGCGGCGCTCGCTGCGAAAGACGCGACTGTAAGCATCGCGGACATGGAACCGACGCTGAAGTTGCATGTCAACGCGGTGACCCAGGGCCCACATCGCCGAGCGCCACTTGCTCAAAGCTCCCACAAGAACGCGACTATCGTTTGCTCATGCTGTGGAAACTCGTTGCACAACATGGAATCGTGAAAGTTCAAGAGGGCCTCATTGCATCACTGTGGACGGATTGGGCATATTGCCCGATGCTGTTGAGACCGGATGACTGGCAAGGAACGGAAAAATCATAAAGGCGGGATGAACATTAGTGAGTGTAGCGGTAGCGTATCTGACGAGGAAGGAAGCTTGTTAACGCTTCGATGCTCCCACGCCAGGTCAGACACTTTGGTTGGTTTAGAGGAAACGGTAATGGCGGAAGTTTGTTTGGGCCGGGATGCCACTCGGGCGCTTTTTTGTGTAACCGGGACCCGATTAGAAACATGAACGCCCGCGGAGCTCCTGTCTTCAGTCCTTCAGCCGCCAGAACCCATGGTCCAGCCGCAGGTACTGCAGCACCAACGGACGATCGGAACCTACAACAGCTTCTCGAGGAATTCGTGGAATTGTTCGAGCCCGGATTTGGGACAGTGCACGGCCCAAAGGTGAGTCTGATCTTACGCCCTGACGCTCAATTGAAGTTCGTTAGAGCAAGGTCTGTACTCTACGCGCTACGCGATAAAGTATCCAGCGAGTTAGATCGATTAGTGGCCGAGGGTCTGGTTGTCTGCGGTGCCCCGCTCTGCTTGGGCTGCCCCAATAGTGCCGGTGGTTAAGAAGGGTGGTGATATCAAAATATGTGGAGATTTTAAGGTCGCTGTAAATTTGGCTTGCCATACCGAACAGTACCCATTACCTGTTATCGGAAACATACTTGCGTCTCTTTGTGGTGGTGGGCTCTTCAGAACGTTGAATTTGAAAAACGCGTATCTTTGCCTTGACGAAGACGCGAGACAATTGACAGTGATTATCACGCACAAAGGCCTGTTTTGCTACAATAGATTACCGTTCAGTATTGCATCAGCACCAGCCGTCTTCCAGCTCAAAGTCGAATCCGTTTTGAAAGATTTTCAGGGGGTTCAGGTCTACCTGGACGACGCACTGCTGGTCAAGAAGCAAGGCGATTCATCGCTCCGGCAAGTGCTACAGAGGCTGCGGGAGCATGGTGTCAAGCTGTACTAAGACAAATGTAAGTTCCGTCAGAAAGAGGTCAACTACCTAGTACACAAAATAGATGCATCGCCGAATGTCACCTCGGCTCGATCACAGACTTGCCTGCACTATCACGGAGCAATCGACACTCATGTCACATTTGACTGAGGCGCGCGCAGCACCGAGAAAATGACACTGCATAGGTGCACCCCATGACCCACTACTTGGTGAACGCGAAGCATCCCTCAGTGCCACGCGCTTTGTGCGGTCACTGTAAGGGCAAAACATGAACGGGTGAAAACGGGTGGATGGTTTGAGAAAATCCGCAACGAGTGGGGCGGCTGCTCGCGCCACCTTGCAAGGAATGAAAGTAGCAAATAGCCTTTCAAGTAACAAGTACGTAGGTACTTATTACTCGGTCAATCCGCCAGCCATCGTAAAACAAGGACCATAAAACAATGTGTTTATTTAAACATATGAGATTTTATTCTCAAGAAACATAGCGCGATATTTCTGGTATACGCGATGGTAGTTTGTCACGGAGTGGGTATCTAAATCAAGTAAACCCAATAAAAAAAAAAAAAAGAAAAAAAAGCTTCGAGATTAAACGCGAAATTGCTTAAAAAGAAACAAAATTCTAGGTTCTGACCGGAAAGAAGCGACAGGTCCACGCCCAGTGTGAAAATCAACAGACGCGCGGCGGCACGCAGGGGTTAAAATAAAAACAATAAATTTATTTAGCCAATAAAAAGCCGCGCGACCGCGACCTGACAAAGCATCAGAACGAAACACGAACAAGCGTTACTCCAGCAACACACTCACAAACCTTCGTGCAGCGGAGCCACGAGGAAAACAAAACAACATTCAATTCACGGCACGACGCGAAACAACTCGCCGCTCGCGACGTAAACTGCAGCCGGGACACAAGTTCGCCGGTGGAAAGAAGACGGAAGTCCTGAAAAAGGAATGTCTCTACTGCGGGCCCCAAAATCGAGAGACATGTTCAAACTGGTTGCCGAGTCACCAAGTAACCACGCTGGTCACGTGAAGCCTTCGTCGTTCGTCGGACCGAAGATGTCGGTAAGTCCGAAAACTCACCGACATCTTGGGTCCGACAAACAACGAAGGCTTCACGTGCCCGGCGGGGTTACTTAGTGGCTCGGAGACCGACGCAACGCAGCTCTGCACAAGCACACACATCCCGAAAAGGGAAAAACAGACGCCCGTCGTCACTGCCGGAATCGTAGCCAGAGCAGAGGAGCTGATGGAAATAAGATAGCAACGCCGAAATCGCGTACTCTCGGGCCGTTATGTTTCGCGTGACGGGAGGAACGAAGACCGACGAGGGGGCGATAGAGAGAGGAGGCGCCATAAGGAGCGGAGAGCGTTAACTCGAGGTCTCGGTGCGAGGACCTGCATGGTCTCCTTCCGACGGTGCATCTGGTGCAGAAACGCAACGGTGCCGCGCGCCGCAAGAGGTCCCTGACAAACGTAGTGCAGCTGCAGCGAGACGACCAGGCGAACGTGACGCGTCCTTCGATGCAGCGCAGTGCGCCCAAGACAAATGTGACACCGGACAGCAGTTTTCTCAACCTTCTGGAAGTCACGCCCTCATCTTGTGTATAGTATCATCACATAATCCTCACAACTAGATGCGGTGCCTTGGGCCGCCGTGGTACGAGCTGTTTTCATTCTGCGGTGCCGCCGCATTCCTGGACAAATAAAGATAATGATGACGATGATAACAACGATGACGATGACGATCATTTATTTTTATTATTATTTTTATCTTTATTATTATTATTCTGTAATATTTTGGTTTTGCTTTTAAACATGGTTTTATATAGAAACTTGCTGAGCGTTCATTTAAAGTTAATTTAAATATATATATATATATATCGTTATAGTTACTTCTCAAAGGTAACGACGCTTCTTCTAAGTTTTTTTTTATTTTTTAAGGCTAGCTTTAATGCTAGGTTGTGCAAGCTGGCACAAGGAATACATGACACACATAACGTCGTAAAGGTAATTTGAAAAATGCTAGGATGGCTAGCTACTACTCGTTTAACGATTTCTTAATTATGCAGAAACTGAAAAATAAAAGCAAAGTAACGGCATCACACTCGTCATCAAACAAAAAAAAAAACAACTAGAATTTCAGTTAAATCTTGAAAGGTAGCGCCTTACAGACAAACGTTAACAAAAAAACAAAAAACGTACAGTAGCGCGTTACTTAGAACAAAGTTACTATCCAAGACTTTGAGCGTCATTAAAATCCCTAAATCAGTTAATTCTAAAAATATTTAAAACATGCGAGAAGCATGGCGGCGCGCTAAATTTTCCACCCGTGCAGCAGGCACAAGCTTGGCGATAGAATATTCCCTCATTGCCACCCTTGAGCCTGTTCTGCGGGTGGACACTTCAGCGCACTACCACACTTCACGTTCGATTTTAGTCATCCTAAAATAAACTGTTCTTTGGGTTTTTGATAACGCTCAGGAATTCCTAAATAGAACCATATGTTAATTTTCACTATAGTCCGTTGCAACCTATGAACGAAGGGCGAGGGTGAGACGGGCAGGGGAGGAGGAAGCAGACGGAACTCTGGAGAAGAGAGGCGAAAACCTCCTTCTCTCTTTAGCGTTTCGTCTGCTTCCTCCTCCCCAGCCCGTCTTACCCTCGCCCTTCGTTCTTAGGTTGCAACGAACTATAGTTGAAAGGAAACTGAGAATATATAGTGTATTATTTAGATCATTATTACGTTTTAGAGAATCGTTGACATAATTCATATGTTTGCTTTGAAATCGCTGACGACGGCCTTGTCTGATAGTTTTGCAACGAACAAGCGGGCGACACCATCTGCACGTTAGAACAAAGTGCACCAACCTACGCACAGCGAACGAAGCAGAAGGCACGCACCACAAGCGGCAGATGCGCGGCACAAGCTCCGATGGAACATATCTAGTTGCAACCCAGGCTCAATTCACCTAACTCAGACATTATCTCGGACTGGCCCGCTTGCAGATATCTATCTAAAATATGCAAATTACAAGTCTGTCAGCAAAGAACTCCTCTCGGTATGTTGTCTACCGTTCGTTCGGGAAATTGTTTTTCTCAAACCCTTTATTTGAATGTATTTCGGAATCTCCGTTGAAGCACCCAGTACATTTCCACTGCAACTGGATGTTTTCATCTCAAATCTAGCAAGCTTAAAGTGTATGCTTTTTACGTTATAGTAAACAAATTAATGTTACAGGAGCTTTTGGGCCGGGCAAATTGTGTATTGATACAGGTTGTCAGTGCCAATAATGCTCAGTTGAAAGTCAGCGCTGCGTGTGTCTACCGCCTTCTACTCTGTCCTTGTCCCTGCGCTGTTTGTTTTCCGCCAATATCAAAATGAGTTGCTGGGCGAGTTAACTATACATGTTGTCTTAAACAGCGCAAATAAAGTAAGGAAGGAAGATACAACAGGAAGAAAAGAGCGCTGACTCACTACTGAGGTTTTAAGGAAGAAGTAGTAAAAAAGAAGAAAGTTGTCAAGTGTGGTGGCATTAATAGAGTAGGGAAGGAAGAGGAGATGGAGTTACAAAAAGTAACCTCTCTTAAACAGTTCTTTTAAAGGAATGACAATTTACAATATTGAGATATTCCAAGAGGATATGTCAATCATTAAAACCTCAGCTGTGAGTCAGCCCTCAATCCCCTTCTGTTGTTTCATCCTTCCTTACCTTATATGCGCTGTTTACGTCAACAAGTTCACCCAACTATGTAGCGTGTTTTTTGAGCCTTAGAGGTTGATCGTCAAGAAATATCAAAACGTGGAGGCTACATTAATGCAGTATGTGCATGTTATTTATACGCCAAGGGGAACTTATTATAGGGGCGAATCGCCAGGATAAGTCGGTTGATTACCTTACCTTTTTTAAATTTTTGTGATCATTAAAAATAAACATAGGGGTAAAACCAAAAAACAAAAAAGCTAATCAGCGTCTTGCAAAACTACAGTATTAATTCTTTCGTAAAGACTAGGCGCACGCGGTAAGCGCGGGGGTGCGCTAAAGTTGCCACTCGTACAAGAGGCGCAAGGCTAATGGAGCCAAAACCCGCCTGTGCGGTTTTTCCATCTTGTGCCATCAGCATGTTCGCACCGCCAGCATGCGCACGTAGCCAAGCTGATAAATTTGGTGCATCCCCCCGTTTATTATGTGCCACACATCTTTCTAGAATTTCACCTTTCTAATGGCTTTCAATGACGGTCAGCAAATGTTTATTTGAAGCCAAAGCTTTAGTTGCAATAACTAAAACGGGACTTAACGAATTGAAAATATGTATCCTTTTATCTTGACGATTATTCCAATAAGTTATGGATCCTTCGCCGTATAGCGCACTTGCATAAACCGGGTTACGGCAGTTTCCACGGGTATCAAAAACCAAATCTCTAAATACACTAAAAACTGAACTCTATATTTGCGTCGAGTGATGTGGTAGAAATTTATATTGCCACGTAATTATCCCTCGCTTAACCTTCGTATCCAACACATTATGCGTTTGTATATCCTCACTCTGCATTCCACTGCCACATTAAAGTGGCACTGAAGTGGTTTTTGAGTTCGGGTTTTGATGATGACAACTGTAATTACACGCCCTAAGTACCCCTAAAATCAAAAAAAAATATAGTCATACGGTGATTATTTCTTTAATAAATATGTAAATGAAGGCCGCCAAACCTCGGATCCACCCGAAAACGAAACCACTCTCATTGGTCATCGCACGCATATCAAAACGATCTCGGGCCAAATGGCGTTGAACGACGTTCCGTCGCGCAGCGATCCTGAAATAGCCGCACCGGCCGAACTTTTTTGTCATTCGAGCTTCGATCATGGCGGAGTTCTGTACGCTCGAGGACCTGACGCCGTTAGAGCTTGACATTCCTCGGCAGACAGCCGACCTGGGGATGATTTCCTACGACGCCACTCCGACGTGCGATGTATACGACAGTACCGCATCGGAGTCGTGTTTGGGCTATGAGGACGAGCAGGCGGCCATGTCCGAGGACGAAGACGGCGCCTTTGACGAGACGGGGCGGATCTGCAACACCGACTGGTGGGTGATACGCTGTTTATTTTACCGCTGTATGTGTCATTTATGCTTGTTCTCTTCTTATTTTCTTTCTCAAAGGTGCCAGTGCGGATGTTGCGCGCAGATGCCGACAGCTGACGAGTGCGTCTGCTGCCGCGAGTACCCCACCACCGCGTCGAGGCAACCTGGCTGCCCAACAAGCAACCCGGATTTCGAGACGGTGTGCTTGAATCCGGAGGTGCTCGAGGTCGCCTACCTCATGATGCGCCACTACCGCCAGGACGGAATGGGCACAGCAGCGCACGAGTGAGTTCAACGCCGTAATTTGCTGTTCGGCTAACTTGCAAACCGGTGCCAGCAGTAAAACGTTAGACAGCTACTTTACTATCTGTTTCAGTGAGCGTTACGCACGTTACTTTTCAAACGTGAAGTCACATTAGTGGTTGCATCGCATGTTTTACTTGCGTTTCGTGCCGTGTTTCATTGTGGAGTGCTGGGTCATCATAAAGTAAAATGTTCAAAACCTCGATTGCTGCATCAGTATCTCTTGCTACAGAACAAGTTCGTGAGATCTGGTTAGCTTCATTTTAGCTTATCACTAGTGATGGGACGGATCTTTATCCGAATCTGAAGGTTCGGAAAAATTCGGAAAAGTGGCCGAATCCCAAGCGATTCAGAAAAGTTCGGAAACATTGGGAGCGTTGCCATGGTTGCCAAATCGCTTTGATGAGTGTTTCAACTTTTCGTGATATCACACTCACTAAATTCTCCAAAGTGGACTAAATATATTGTAATACAATATCACAGTAATAAATAAAATGTTCCGCTTTGTTTAAATTATTTCGGATGTTTGTCGAGAACGGTAGCAAGACATCACGTTAAAATTGGTTTCGGTTCCAAATTACGATCTAATAGGCATGCTTGGTACACACACATAGAAATGCAAGCATATTTTTTCATCGCTGCAAGAGATCGATGCCCTACGTGCTCTTCGGTACAGACACATTTCGTGCCCGTAATTACTGTCATAGTGGCACACGACCACACAAGTGAGTATGTTCGATTCGATTATCTCCAACAAGTTTCCACTGAGGTATTGATATCGAAACACGGGAAACAATGTGAAACTCCTGGTTAATGCTGTCCGATTTAGTTAGTGTTTGGTTGCGAACAATGAAGTTGTGTTGGACACCCCTGTGTTGTGTTTCTTTTTCGTCAAATAAAGTTAACGTATAAAAAAACTTGCTGCCGAGAACGGAGAAACGACAGTGCAACGTTTTTCTTCGCCACCGGTGCCGGTACGCGGTCGAAGTTGTGACGAGCAACATTCATCTAGTTTTCGCGCCTTACAGCTACAGACATACGCAGCTTTAGAGAAGGAGACAAATCATTTCCTTGCCTGAATATATATTTATTGTGCGTTGCGTCACATTATGTATAATACACAGCATTTTGCTACATTTTACCGATCACCGCGAAACCGCACAGGAAGCGAAACCATGCATTGGTTAGGCCCACGTCAACCACACCGATCAGCTCTGCTGGACCTTGGCGCCTGCCAGGGTTTAGAACGACAGTTTAGGACATACCATATATTGAAATAAGCAAGACGAAATCTGGTTATATGCAGTAACAGTACCTAAGAAAAGCACAACTGACCACATTTGCGCAGTTTACGACTATTTTCACACTGCCGTCTGCAAACCGCGACGAATCTGATCAATCTCCGAATCTGTCCGAATGCAAATCTCCGGTGATTCGTCCCATCACTAATATTACGTTCACACTATGGACCTAACGGGCGTAACTTTTGCAACAAACGTTGGAACAACATGCATAAACGCTACGTTCAGGGTACACTACTGAACGCTGCGTTCACACCCATTGGAGTAGTGCGCTCAAGTTTCACCTCTGAGTGCTGCGCCACTCGAGACCCCCGTTTGATGCCTTTGAAGTTTTGATATAGCCATGTTCTCCTCGGTAGCAGCGACGGGCTCGCAACTGTGTCGTTAAAAAAGCTGAGCACGGCGGCAGGTGCAGCTTCCAGACCAAATGGTGCGTCGAGACTTTGAACACTAGATAAAAAACAACGAAAAAGCTAATTTCCCTTAGCTTCATTGAAGTCCCTCTCTGAAGTATTCGAACGTTATTAATAGCGTGCAAGCAATTATGATAAAAGCAATGCCCCGTCTCTTTGGCGTGAACTTCTGCATCTCTTTGCCACGCAGAGATGCAGTAGTTCAATCGAGTCAGCATGAACAGTGCTGCCGCATATTTTAGGGTTGTTGACATGCATATTGTTGTGCATGTTAGGCTTTGATCATCTTGTCTGTTGGAATTGACTTTTTCTAACAGTTCTTTGTGATGATTTATGGCCCATTACTACACGATGCAGAACTACAACGAAAAATGGTTGCACTTGTGCGCCATAACCGCTGCTAATTTCTTGTAAATGGAGTATACACTACTGCGGTTCAATTAGCAACATAATATAATGTTCACACATGTCAATTTAATTTGTGGGAAGAATAATGGACACAATCTAGAATTTGCTCCGCTCCTCGGGTTATTTTAGATAGGTTGCTGCTCCAGGCATGAGGGCCCGTTGCAGCACTTTTTTTTTGTTTCTGCTGGTAGAGCCCAGAATCTGCAATATTAAAAGGTTGTGATATTACGTCTTACAGAAAATTATTGTGGTTATTCTTTCAGGCGCAACCGCTACGCCGCCTACCGGCAGTGCGTCGCGTGGCTGTGGCGGCGCCTTGGCCAGCACAACAGGCGACCACTGCCATCCTGTGTGGTGAAGGCCATCAGGGGCCGGTTTCCCGACACTTCGTATTCTGGCTTTCGGCACAGTCACTGAAAGCCACTCTGGGTGCTCAAACATATGAGAGTAAGTCAAAACGTATCTGCAATGTGGCTATAACGTTTCGTACATTGTTTTTACTAACTTCTGTCTCCGTTTATTTTATTATTATGCCGTTGTGGTTCTGCTATGAGAGTTTGACCATAATTCATTTGTTTTCTCTCTGCTGCATCTAGATCATGGCCCCTCCCTTCGAAGTTTGCACCAAAGAGGAAAAACGAGCAGGCAACGAGTGTTTCGCTCAACGAAGTGTCTATGAATTGAGTGTCCACACCTTCCGACCACATGAACCGGAACCCTGCTGGTTTTTCTTCTCTGGTGCAAACTTCTAAGGGAAGGGCTGTGATCTATTCGCAACAAAAGGAAAACAAGTGAAGAATTAGTATCAAACTTTCATAGCAGGTCACAACAGAATAACAATAAAATAAACGAAGACAGAAGTCATTAAAAACAATGCACGAAAAGTTATGGCCACATTGCAGATATTTTTTCACTTGCCTGCCCCCCCCCCCCCCCCCAAGAGGATTCCCACCTTACTGTGGTGGAGGGGTTTGTGTGCCCCATTGACTCTCTTGGGCTATGCCGGCCAGGGTCACCCATGCCGGACAGGCCAGAGGATAGGGGCGAGACAAAGAGGAATCCGTGGGTTAGTACCCACCCATTCCTGGCTTTGTGTGGCGTTGCCAGTGTCTGGGAAAAGGGAGATTTTGATGGTTGAGGTGAGCCCTGGGTCATTACTGGACCCTTGGTTAGCTTTGCTGCATGTTACGAGTTTTCTTGTTGTGATTACTGGTGTAGCGTTAGCATTTTTACAGCTCTGCTTCATGGAATAGCACAGATTGTTGGCGATGTTAGAAATGTTGAAGTATTGATTCCTTCGTTGATTGGCAGTGTCAATAGTGCCATGTGATCTTTGAAAGGCACTAAAGATATGTGAATCCGTCATGTATGTTGTGAAGGTAATAAAATGCGATTGCTTTTTTTGGAAACATTGGCCATGTTTCCGAAAAACTAAGACGTTTGTATACCTCCCCAAAGAAAAACTCATGCGAGTTTCTCTTTGGGGAAGTATACAAACATCAGTGGTGTACAGGGTCGTCCACTCTGTGTGGCCGGCGCTCCGCGAAGCGCCGCAGGTGAGCGCCTTGCGAGTTAGGGCCAATTAGTGCGCAGGCTCAGGGAGAGCCAGGGGCCAAGCCTCCCCCGCGTCATCTGCTACAGTGTCGGCACAGCGGCCATGTTCTGAGGCAAAGCAAGCACTGTTCTTACATCCCTGGTGTCACATGATACTCAGAAATTTTGATCTGCAAGTTCTCTGCACAACTTGTTCCTCTGAGAAAGGTAAACCAGCCGGCACACAGCAAGTGTCCCGCACGAGAAAAAATTACTTCGGCACATAGCGAAGTAATTGCCGCGTCGGCTGCTCATTTAGCAGACTTCGCAGCAAAGGCTTGGACAATGGCTATCTCTAATCGGCCCCAATTCACAAGGCAGCCAACTGCGGCGCTCCACGGAGCGTCAGCCACGCAGTGCCGTGTGCACCCCAACACTGGACAATTCAGTACATCGAGACCTACTTGCTTATTTGCAGGGCACAATCATGAAGCCATTTTTTTAAATTTTATTCCACCATTCCTTTATTGGCAGAAAATGCCCTCTATCCATTTTTTGGTCATGCCTGATGCACCGGATCCTAAAGGTAATTTTTAGGTTACATTCTATCTGCTTCCACCTTCTCTTGATGAGTCATGTGAAACAGAAACACGTTATTTCAAACATTTATTTATAACTATCTGGAGTGCAGTGCACCTCCCGGTCTACACAGGAGAGATATCGCACAAAGGTGAAACAAGAGAATAATTCAGATGGCGGAAAACCGTGGTGTAGACTGGCAGTACTGCTTGGATATCATTAAAAATAACTCTGAGTGATCCGAGTTATGCACAACTTTACTCAGCATTGCCAGTCTACCTCCTGGCTGAAAACCCAATTTATTAAAAAAGTCGCAGGCGAGCAGTGCTGTAATCGTGGTAACTCCTCTTCAACCTGTCAGCTTATCAGCACATGAAATGGAAAATCAAAGCCAGGGTATTAGATGCTTCAATTATAAAAAAGAAAAACGTGCCATGAACGCGTTCATTTGTGTGCTTCAACTGAATATACATGACACTTTCAGTAAACCAACTATTTTTCCTTTGACAATGTTAAAAATTCCTGGCATGCAATGACAGACCCTGTCCTTCTACTTGGTTGTCAATGTCACACTCCGGTCAAGGTCACATTATGAACAGTGCATGAGATGGTAGCCCACTGGTAAGTATAGGGTCCTGATTATCTTTACTTCACTAATTTAGCTGCACCGAAGACAATTATACTGACCAGACTTTCTCAAATAAATGTTACGCCTCACTCCTTGCTAACAAATAGCGAAAAATGGGGGCCTC